TAAAAAAATTGTCGAAACAAAAAATCTTGACAAAAATATTCTGGACAATTTTTTTGCAGATGACAGTTTTTGTGGTGTGTTTGTGACTGACTTTTTTTGACACTTTGTCTTGGTTTACATTTACATTGCAGTAAATGTGATTCTACATGGTGTAGCATGTGACTTTTGATCATGTATTCCCTAGCAGAAATTTACTAGTAATTTCCTAGTAATTTACTGGATAACTTTCCATTTGCTACTTGCTATTTACTAGTCAAAATCCAAGTTCAAATCATCGCCAAAGACCCGCGTTTTCACTTGCTAATTGACTAATCAATTTGCTTACAATTTAACTAGTAATTTACTAGCAAATTTTCAAAAAAAATTTAAACGAATATAACCGTTGATTTCCACGTGTTTTTTTGATTTTTCTAATTTGTGTAAATTATTGTAAAAGTATTAGTGTGTACTTATTTAAAGTTAATTAAAGTACACTAACACAATGAAAAAAAATAAAAGACTTAATTTAATTAAGTCGAATACTGATGAACGCCCATGACTCGCACGCAAACCTGAGGAAGATAAATAATTAATAGAAAGTCACATATAGGGATTACGGGATCAAGATATTATAATAACCAGTAAGTTTTTACCCAATAATTTAAGAATTCTTTTTAACTTACAGTTTTCTTTTCAAAATTTTTTTAAAATGTTAGAAATAAGTGTTGTCAAATGCCCATTGAAATTTCCAAATTTTTTAAAAAATTTGAATTTTAAATAGATTTTATGATCATTCGAATGCATCTCTAATAAAGCTGCGATAAAATCTATTATTTGAATTAAAAATTAAAGCTATTGATTTGTTTTAAAGCAAAAGTTTTAAAAATTTTGACTAAAAATCATAATAGCTTGACAAAAAAAAAATCAAATTTTTACAATTTTTAAAATTTTAGATAATTTTTGATATGTAAAGTTAAAAGATAATCTTTGTAAAAACAAAAGCTTTAATTGTAAAGTTAAAAAGTTCAGACAAGACAAGAAAAAGATATTGATACATTTGGAAAAACTTTAACTTTCTGGCTTAGTTTTCAATTCAAAATTTTTTTCAATGACTAATACACCTGATTGGAATTGAAATCTCTTATTTTGAACATGTTAAACGCAATTTTATACCGTAGTTTCTGAACCGAATCTAAACCCGGGTTTAAACCACCCAATACCGTAATCCCGGGATTGAAATTTTGGGCCGGTATTGAAATCCCTAGTCACATACAAATTTGCATCGAACTTATAAAGGTGATTTCTGCGCGCTCTTGTGAAGTATATGGCAAATGCCAAATTTAGAACAAAATTTTTTATGACGCAAAAAATTCTTTTTTTGGATGATTTTTCGTAAGATTCGAACTTAAGCAGATTTGATCAAACATTTTTCATGGTATTTTGCTAGTAATTTGCTAGTAAATATCAAGTGTAATTAATTAACAGTAAGTTGTTTTAATAATAACTAGTAAATTGCAAGTTGTAGAATAGAAAGACTAGCAATTTGCTAGTTAGTCTCGCTAGGGATTAAGTATTGAGGGTTCGGTCCTCTAAGATTGTGTATCAAATCTAGTCCACTTTAGCTGACTAATCCGTTTAAAACCTAGTCTTCTGAACTCAACCTCCAAACAAATCCTTCATAAAGATTGTTGATCACTGTCTTGATTATTTTTTGAGAATCCTCAAATCTAAATGTAAGATCCCAAGTTCTTAGTCATTCTAACATTCTTGTCATCTGGCAACCATCTGGACAACATTCATAATTGCATTGTTCGGAAGTATCGTAAAGTAATAAACTGATTTTCTGCAAATTTAGACCTTTCTACAGTTTTAAAATCTAACCCTTTATTGCTTAACATTTCATAAAATCCCAAAACAATTTGAATTTTTCAAAATTTCCCACCAATCTTTTCTGGGACTTTCCCATCTATCAACTGGTAAGCAATAAATCGATTAGGTAAAAAATAATTTATTTCTCCCAAAAGAATTATCAGCATTAATTAATAGATATCTTATAAGGCGCTTCTGTCACATAAATAATGAAACATTCAACTTCTCTCATGTTCTCTCCTCTTCATGATCTTCATCCTCTTAAGAAATGCTTAAAGAAATAAATTTTAAAATTTTCATCGTTTGTCTTGTCTTTAACATTTTGAGAATTAAAACTCAAATGAATTTAATGATCATTTTTCTTATTTTGTCGCTTTTTCTTCAATTTCTGGGTTTCTGTTTTCATTTTATGAATTTATCGTTTTGCTTTGATGTCGTCCAAATGTTGAAGATGAACTCTTTAACTCCTCAATCTTTCCATCTTACTCGCTTCCTTGCCAAAAAGTTTTTCTTTCTATTTTGCATGCTTTAATAATAATTTTTAATGCATTAGACGATGATTGCAGGAGGTTTTAACATGCGAGAAATTTATGAACATTTCAATGAGTGATGTCGAGATGGATGATAAAAAGGGTTCGCTTACTGAATGCTTTTCTCAAGCAGTAAAGTGTCAGTGAATTTTTTGTTGAACGAAATTTTTAATGGTTTATTTATAAAATTAAAAGCAGTCAGCAGTGCAAGGAGAAGGAAAATAAAAGTGAGAGATGAAAAAAAAATATTGAAAATTCAACTTGCGACCTCCCAAGATGCTGCGGTGTTTGTTGAAAATTCTCGCAGTTAAAATTTACATTATCAGGTGGCTTCATAAACATGACATTTTAACGAATTTATATTATACAGTCAGAATGGATGTCTCTCGGGTGTATTTTGTAGAAATTGAGATTTATTTGTGGTTTGTAGCGCATTTGAATTTTTAATTTTGTACTTGGATGTTTAGACATGTCTGTTGACGTGAGATTTCTCACTTAATTCAATGTTGGGAACTAGCAGATGTTGAAGATTTTCCAAAGGATTTTCTGACAACCTGTGTCTGTTGTGTAGTCTATTGTAGGTTTCATAGTTCGTTCGTATAGCAACTAATTTGCTTGACTACCAGAAATTCAATAATTAAGTGTGAATAGCAAATAATCTTTGTTCAAAAGATACGAGATCAACTCCTGTTCAAATATTCGTTATTGTTCAGACAAGAGCTCTTGCAAAAGAGATGATGAGAACTATAAATTTTGAATTATCAGCGCTGAAAATACTTGGTCAATGTAATCAGTAAGAAATGTCATTAAAAATGCGGTTTGAATCCCAATTAATTTTAGATAACCCATAAACTTAGTCTTAGTGAAGCTTCTGATTTTCATTGATCAGTTTTATTATAAATGATTTGGAATCACTTTGATTCAGCTCTTGAGCAATCCAAATATGCTTTTCAGCAAATTAAGTAAGGAATCAATTCAAATAAGTCTAAGAATTTCTCCACCTTTTCAAAAATAGTCCCAAAGACAGCACAATCATCAGACACAATAAGATTTTAAGAATTACACGCTAAAACTCAAACATTCCACAAATCACTAGATGAATGGTGAGAAAATATTTTCCCAAGAAAAAAAATGAAGAAGAAAATGAAGAAAATTAGTTTACGAGCATCATCACTCCAATTTTTCATTTCTAGCGTGTCAGTGCTAGATAATCATTATAATCCCACAAGATCTAATAATTTAATTTTTTAATTACATTTGACTAACTCCAATGGGAATTATTTATGAGTCATTATGTCAAATTTCATCTCTAATTCTCATCCATTCATGGAACTGAGTTATTAAGAATTGGAAAGGAAGTGTTACGTAATGACTAAAGTTCCTCAAATGAATGCGACAAAAAGAAAATTCAATTTTAATCCATATCCATTGGGAGTAATAGATGTTTTGAGAATGAAACATTTTATGGCTTGTTTTATTCAATGTAAGACTACAAACAACATGTGTTCAATAAGAAATAACGCACAAAATATTTTTCTTTTCTCGTGTAAACTGACTAGCTAGCTAAACATTAAGAAAACTTTTTTTAAAAAAAAAGAAGAAGAAAGAAAAAAATTATACAGTTTATTAAATTAAAATTTAAAGGCGTTTGTCAGAGTTTGTGACTCAGTTGAAGGATTCGAGAGAAAAATATTTTTTTTTTTGTGATAAATTTTTTAGAGAATAATTGGACTTGATGATTAAAAGACTTGCTTTTTTGTAAATAAAATTTCACCATTTTTTTCAAGATTAGAATTTTTGATGAATTTATTATATTTTTTAAAATATTTTTATTAAAACAAGGAAATAATGAATTAGGGTATATATAATCAGCTTTATCATATTAAAACTCAATTTTAAATTGTTATAGAGTTTGAATATCCTAATATCTTGCTAGTATCAATTTTAATAGTCTTAAATGAATGTTATTGCGCCTGAGACTGTAACTTTTAGGCTTGCAATATACCAGGATTTATAAAGGATCTAGTATTTGTTTCCATACAATCTTAAAGGATTTAGTTCGATATGACAAGTAGTCAATTTTTGGATCTGGTTTTTAAAATATAATTTTGCGAATCTCGGTTTTTTGACAAGAAGTTTGAATTGAAGATCTATCCTTAAAAAATTCAATTTAATTTTTATTTCAATAATTTGAAATTAGAAATTCAGAAAACATCTAATCCAAAGAAAATTGTAGCTTCGAAACCCCTGAATAACAACTTTTTGAATGAATGAAGACGACAAGAAAGAAATATAGTGAGAAAGACCATTAAAATGAAGGAAGAAAAACTTCATATAATAATGACATTTTAAATGTTTCTGTTGCTGTTGACATTTCCACGAAACATGTCGATGAGAAAGTAAAAAGAAGAAGATGACTAAGAAGACGGGCGCGTAAAGAGTGGAAAAATTGAATGAGTGAAAGAATGTTAATTACGTCCTATCTCAAGAATTATTCTTGATTTTCATAACTGCGTGTATCACATAAATTAGACACTTGAGATGTTGTGTTGATAGGATGAGAAGTTATGATGAATGAGCTGAAAAGGTTAGAGTTGAAGAAAAATAAAGAAAACAGTTTTTTTGAAGATTTCAAAAAAGTGAAATTTTTCATTTATTTTTAGAATCGAAAATTACAATTTTTCCTTCATTGCTTATTGCTTTCATATAATTTTTATTGCATAGACGACGACATTATGTATAATATGTATTCATTTTTTCATCATTAACTTGTTTTTATACACATAATATTGCAAAAAAAAGAGAGCAAGAAATAAAATAATTTTTAACACATCATTAACATAAACATTAATTCTTTCAGCATTTTCTAAAATGTCTCAAAGATATTCTCAATTCTCAATCAATTCTCTTAAAGTATAGCTTTCCGGTGTATATTTTATTTCAAGTAATAATAAACAAAAAACGATTATAAAGTGGCGAAAAATGAAAGAGAAAATATTAGCTCAAGTGGCTTGTTCGATGATGATGATTTGTTTAGATCTACATGCTTATAGAAGTGACTTTCAAGTGCGATTTCTAGGTTGAAACTCACAAGTTGTTTATTTGAGTAAGAACTATCCAGTCTGAGGGATTATTTGTCTATCAAAGAGACTATTTTTTTCCAATTTAAAACAATTTTAATTTTTTTAAAATTCGACGGTTTATTAATATTTGAATCTAAAATGTTTATAACGTACATTTCAAATTTAAATTTTTAAATATTGCCGTTTAAGAATCTAGTCCTTATTCCCTGTACTGATCCGTGCAATATTTTTATTATAAAATTATACGAAACTTATCAAAAGCTTTCTAGAATTGAAGCTGACTTCTTGTATTTTTAAATCATAGTCTCGTCATATCTAGTAAAGTCTACTAGTATGACAAATAAGACATGATGACTTAACGGTTTCAAATTAACAGTAGATTTGATTCCACGAGGTTCTTCATTCACTCCAATTCTAAATTCTCTAATCAATCCCATTTGACTCCACTTACAGAAGCACAAAGGACATAATTAAAATTATTATCAAAGTAATAATTTGCTCGAGTATAATGTTTTCACGATGAACTTAATATTGATGTTCGCAAAACGAAAAGAAAAAAAAAATTAAAAAATAAAAACGAGAGCGATAGAGTAAAAACATTCATTCACTCATTCATTAATAATATAATTAATAATTTATATAAAGTTTTTCATTTTTTTCTCATTCTTCAGTTAGTTAAATATGTGTTGTGTTTGTGTATGTCTTAAAAGTCTGTATAGATTAAAGGTGGAAGCATTTTCTTTCCTTCTTCCATATGAATTGGACGATAAAAATCCTTAAATTCATTGAATGGACGTGCCGCATTATTATAGCATGATGAGTATTTTGGTAGCGGTGTATTGACAATCAATGGCAATGGCTGATGTGCTGGATCATAGAGTGGCGGCACAAGAGGTGTTTCAGCCGGTGCAATTTGAGCAATTGTCTCCGGTGTTTGAACAGATAATGCAGGAAATTGTGGGGCATATGGTGCTGGTGCTGTATTGATAAATGGCACTGGACTCTTTGCACCCATTCGAATAGATGAAACGGGTGATTGTGATGGAATTATACCACCCGGTGGAACTGGAACTGCTGCATCCAATTGCATTTGTTTCTTTAAGATTCCAGGTGTTACTGGAGATGCATTATAGCTTGATCTTGATGATGGCATTGAAACTGGTGTCATTGGTTTCATTGGAGCCGGTGAAATAGCCATTTGAATAGGTGTTGTCTGAACAGGAAAAGCAACAGGAGTTTGAGGCTTAACGACTGGAGTCGGTGTTTGAGGCTTAACAACTGGAGTGGGAGTTTGAGGCTTAACGACTGGGGTTGGTGTTTGAGGCTTAACGACTGGAGTGGGAGTTTGAGGCTTAACGACTGTTTGAGGCATCGTATATGAAATTGGTGTATGAAGCTTAATTGGTGGATAAGATTGTCCAGATCCTGAATAAGGTCTGGGCATTTGCTGTTGATATTGAGCCAATGGTGAAGGCTGTTGAGCATGTTTCATTGGTGGAACAAATTGTTGTTGTTGAGGAACAAATTGTTGTTGTTGAGGAACAGCTGGGAGTTGTTGGGGAACAAATTGAGTTTGTTGAAGAACAATTGGAGCTGGTGCAACTTGTTCCTGCTTAATTGTCGAAGATTCCGATGAGAAAACATCTTGGAAGCTTGTTGATGTAGTCGATGTAGACGTAAATTTCGAAATCTTTTCGCTTGATGAAACCGATGAGGTTGTCGATGACATAATCGGAATCTCTGGTGGGGTATACATTCCTATAAAAATAAATATTATTTTTTTGGGCGGACCATTTTTTGTTGGAAAATAATTTGTAGCCACGGAATTATTTGGAACGGATTTTTTTGGAAAACAATTATTTGGAAAATAATATTTTGGACATGGAAACATTTGGAACGGAATTTTTTGGAATTCTAAGAATTTGTAAATAAAATAATTTCAGGTAAAAGAGGTTACAAAAATTAAAATAATACATAGAAAAATTTGTACTCGAACCTTTGATCATGAATTGATAAATCTTCTATTAATTTGAGTATTTTTATTAATTTTTGGTCATCGCAAAAGGATATATAAGTAATGTCGTTTACAACGACATTCATAAGTTTATTTCATTTCAGTTCATTTTATGGAACATTTATTGATTGGGCAATTCTGTAAGTAGATTAATAGTTGCAGCGAACGTTTAATCTACAGTAATTAAATCACAAATAATTATTTGCATTTATTTTATCTCGCTTTACCGTTACTTATTAACAAACTTTTAATATTTGATTTCTATTTGAAATCCCCTTAATTGTAAACCCAACTTATAGGATGAAAAGGATCAATTTTTTGGGAATCAATTATCAAATCTCAATTGGAGCAAACTTTTTATAATTAATGGTAGAAAATGTCTTAATTAGATAATTTAAAGGAGATTTATCAATTCATGATCAAAGGTTCGAGTACAGATTTTTCTATATATTTTTTTAATTTTTGTTACCTCTTTTACCTGAAATTATTTTATTTACAAATTCTTAGAATTCCAAAAAATTCCGTTCCAAATGTTTTCATGTTCAAAATATTATTTTTCAAAAATTTGCATTCCAAAAAATTCTGTTCCAAATAATTTCACTTCCAAAAAATAATTTTCCAAATAAATATTTTCCAAAAAAATCTGTTCCAAATAATTCCGTTCCAACAAAAAATGCTTCCCCTTTTTTTGTGTTAAATAAAAGTAAAAGACGAAGCAAAAATCGAAATAAATGAAAAGAAAACAAAGTTAGAGACCTCGTAAATTTTTTATAGGTTTCAGTTCTGTTTATAAATTAGCGTGTCATTAAATAAGCATAGATTTTCAATATTATTAGATGTATATTATATTTTTAAATATAGCGTCCATTAGGAGATTTGAGATTGACGTTACAGTCAGTTGTGTTCCTCAATTTTCATTACAAAGTAAACAAAACCCCCAAAAAAATTGCGGAAGTAATAAAAGAGTTATTTTCATATACACAAAAACTTGCCTTGCTCAAAATTACTAATTAGTGATTTAACTGGCACAGTTTGATACTCGGGTGTCGATTCCCGACTATCACTTTCAATTATTAGTTCCTTTATTGGTTCCTCATAGACATTTGTTGCAACTTCACCAATTTTAACTTCATACTCAACAACTGGAGGTGTCGGTTGTTCACATTCTCGAATTAGTTCCAAATATAATTGTTTACTATCGTATATTTCAGATATTTCTGTCGCATGCTCATCATCTTCGTGTGTACTTTGACTAAATTCTTGATTATTAATTTAAAATGCATAGAAGCGTTATAAAGGAAATTAAGCAGGTTAATAAGCATTTAAATTAAAGCATCATCCATTAATTAATAAAGTTTTAATTACCTGCTTGAAGAACAACTGGTGGACGATTCCATCCTTGTGGAACAGATGGACGATAAGCTAAATCACGTCCAGCAAGATGTTCTCTCAATTGCTTTGATGATTGGATCTAAAATATGAAATTTTAGGGATAATTAATCTGACAATTTAAGTATCGATTCATTTTCATTTATGTCAAGTCGATCATTCAATAAAGTCAAATTTGGAGCATTAAATTCTGTTTCCCAACAATCCCCACCTGAGTATCCTTCATAGACGAATACAACGACGATGGTGGTGGTGCTGATGAGCTATAATCAACTTGTTGAACTTGACTAGCTGATGCTGAATAGATTTGTTGTTGATCATAGCTCACAAAAGCATTGTCAGCTGAACCTGTTTCTAGTGCTGCTTCCCATGGTGATTTGACCATTTTAATAGCTGGTTGTTGATATTTTTCTTGAATTTGATCCAATTTTATGTTATTTTGTACGCGTTGGATACCAACGTCTGTAAAAGCTGGTAGAAATTGTCCGGCTGCTGTTGATGCTTGGGTTTGTTGTTGAGTCTTTGTTCCATCAACGACCCACTTTTCAGCCTTCTTGCGACGTTTGGCAAAAAGTTCAGCACCTAAAATTGAGGTTGATTATTAATCATATATATGACACCAGCATAACAACTAACCCTTTCCATTTGGAGCATTGAGGGCATTACAAAGTTCAATGCCAAATTCTGGAGACATTGGTGCTGTTGGCTCATATCCAAACTGTCTCATTGAGTTAAAATCTTGAACATGACGAGGATCCATCACCAACTTAAGAGGAACTTTTTTTGGTTCAATTAAGGTTCCATTTGTTGGATGTTGTGATATGCTGTGTTCAGTTTGTTTCGTCGATGTCTCGTAACCATTTTCTTTCGTTTCTTGTGTATCTAAAAATAAAGCATGAAATTGTATGTCATCGATTAATGCAATGAATCATCAGCGATGCATTTAGAAATAGAAATAAGATGCAAACCTTCAACAAATCGTTCCTCCTCATGTCCGTCATCATGAATCCATTTTACAGAACGCTTTTTACGATTAACATACATCGATTGTCCTTTAGACTGATGATTACTGATATCACTCAATGAATGAGAGATTCTTTGTGCAAGTGCAACTTGATCCTCAACAGTTGGATGAATTACAGGCGAGTAGAATGATGATGATGCGAATAATTTCCCTAAAAAAAAGATTGTGAATAAGATCATTGAGGATTTATGAGATAATCCATCGTCATTTACTATTTTTTCCCGGCTTGATCTCTTCAACATCGTTGGCTGGTGTGAAAATCTTTTGTAAATCGATCGGTTTCTTTCCTTCATGTTTCTCATCCTAAAAACAATTTCAAAAAAAAAAGAAATAAGAAATTTCAGTAAAAATAGAAACGAAAATGAATCCACAAATAAATAATCTCAAAATTAATTAATCAAACCGATTTATTCCAAATTTTCTTGCTCAAGTCAACGAGAAATGACTTTTTGCCGGGATCGAAACGGTCAGTTGGCTTGAATCCACGATTTGATTCAATCGATGACGTTGTTTGTGATCGCTTGATGGACGTTTTAAATTTCTCTTCCTTATAGCTATAACTCTTTTGCATTGAAAACATTTTCTGGTGATTTTTCATAATTTTCTTTTTCAAACTTCTCTTAAAAATTGTCTTGTTATGTTAAGAATATTTTTTAAAAAATCTTCAAGTGTCAATGAGAATGATCTGTTATAGACATCAATAGACAAAAAGAGAGAGAGAAAATTTGAATGAATTTCAAAAGACACCTGTTTCTCAAGTCAGGCATGACATCTTCTTTTCTTGTTAATTCAAGAGCGAGAAAAATCATTTTTCTACTGTTCCTATCATAAGGAAGATCAAGAATAAGACACGATTTTTGAGAGAATTTAAATATTTTTTTTTTGGCAAATTTTCATATGGAAATTCTTTCTTTTGATTTTAAGTGTATTTGACACACCTATACATAAGGAAGTGAACATATGAAGAAAAATTATGAGATCGACAGGGTTCGACGGAAGTTATTGAAAATGTAGAAAATGAATTTTACTTGATAATTAGAGTTATAAACTATTGGAATCGTCTTTAAATGTCTGATCAAATTAGAATTGAAAAACTCAAAATGATTTTCTTGAAATAGAAAATTTTGCCTTGTTTTGAGTTTCAATAGACACTGAATTGAGCAATCAAAGTGTCGCGGCACAAACATTATTGCTTACAGTGGTTCTTTGAATTTAAATTAATGTGTTTGGGAGCATTTAAGGTGAGAAACTGATGAAAAATTATCAAAATGATTTATCAGTTCCTAATTCTTGATTATCACTTACGGGTAGATCATGTCAAGCTAGTTTTAATGTTAAGTTGATGAGCTTAATCTTGACTAAGAGTCGCAAACAAACAAAAGATTTCTTGGCTATCTACATTGACTCAAACAAATAAGCTTCAACTCCTTTAAATCTTGACTTTAATATAAGATGAGTTAAAGAACAGGTAGGTGTACTGAAATCTCATCAGAATTCAACCTCGAAAAAGTCATTAGTCTTAACAAAAAAAATCCACCATACAGACACAAAAGAAGAAAATTTATCTTCCTTGTCGACATCCTCAAAATTTATATATTTTATTTTATTTTGTACAATTTGTCGATCCCTTGCACAAAAGATCACAGATGAAAATAAGCGATAGTAAAAAAGATCGTATCTTCTATCATAGTCATAAACCTGATTGTTGCCTTCTTTACTTCCCAGATTAATAAAAATAACTTTTATTTTGAGTTGATAATAATTTTTCGCTTTTTATAACAGAATTTTGACAGGAAAAATTTCCTTCCTTGAAGTGTGGCCATTAAATCACTTTTCAGGCAATAACAATTTATCATTAACAAAAGCATTTAGACGAGATTTTAACACGATATGCTGTTTAATTAATCGAGTTTGTATACAGACGAGAAATTGCAATGAGCTAGACACGAGTCTCCAAATATAAATATTTATCCATAAAAAAAATTTGAAAATAAATCATCCTCAATATGATAAGGCACAGAAGAAAAATTCTCCATCGCTCTTGAAAAACTCTTAATTTTCAATCTGATTAAGGCTATTTACACTTTTTTTTTAAAGACATAAACTATTAATTAATCCACATCAAAATACCGAATTTCGTCCTCGATCTAAATCACTTATACTTTGCATAACTTGACACTAAGCAAGTAAGGAAAAATAAAATTTGAAAAATAAAATTAAAAATGTGAAAATAAAGGAAAAATTAAAAAAGATTTCCACACTCAACAAACAGCAAAATTCAACTAAAAAAGTGAGTGTGCCGTAAAAAATGAACGCAAAAGACTGTTCTTCTCGCCTAAACTTGTATTTTTAGAAGCAGCACGGTGTTTTTTTGTGATGTAGTTACTAGAAAGTTTTCGTTCCTCTACGTTTTACATAGTATGAGAATCCCTCTCTGTTTTGACTCATCTCTCATTTACAGTAAAATATACAAATATGAATTGACGATTTTCGTGAAATAAACAAGAGCTGATCAGCTATGAAAATGGCGGTTGGGGTTTTTGAAGATTTTGAATTTTATGATTTGAGGTGTTCATTAATGTGGTATTCATTGCAGAGTAGTATTTAGGATAATGGGTCATATTATCGTCATATTCTGCCAGTGAAAGAGTAGAATTTGTAACTATTTCGTGTGGACGTAGGTTCAATTTCCAGCAAGTACCAGTTTTCAAAAAGATGATTGACGATATAACAATGATTCGAACAATACTCATTGCATTTCATTAAATCTAAGACATTTTTGTAGAAGCAAGTTCAGTTCCATTTCGGTATTAAAGTTTGAATTTTCAGTGATATATCTCTCAGATAGCTTATTGCCAAGGTGTTTCCAACCTGGATTAATTCAAAAAATCCCACACTTGTTAAAAACCCTTGAACTATTCCCCCAGTACCACAAGTTCGAGACGAAAATCGAGACGAAATCCTATGCTAAGACGACTCGGGGACGAATTGAAGCCTATCGTAGGATTTCGTCTTGCTTATCCGACTTGTGCTACTCGGGTTCACATCAACTATACTTGAGATAACCAGAAACTATAAGTCCAAAGATTATAAGTCCAGAAAATCGAAGTGACTAAAGGTTTATAAGTCCAGATACAAATTGCACCTGGACTTAAAAACCTCAAGTGCAGTTTATAAGTCCAGGGACAAATACAGCTGGAATTATAAACTGCACGAGAGGTTTTTAAGTCCAGGTACATTTTATATCTGGACTTATAAACCTTACGTTCATAATTCCAGAAAATTTATAAATTTAACTTATAATCTCCCAGTGCGATTATAAAACCAGTTTAATTTTATAAATCAGCTGCTACATTTAAGATTCAGTAAATATTTAGTGATAAAGATTTTTTATGATATTCAACTTTAAGGCACTAAAGTTCATTAACAGAGACTCCAAAAAAATCTGAAATCCTTGTTAAAATATGCCCAATATTAAATAGTTTCAAATAATTTACAAGGATTATAAGTCCAGAAAAATGTATCTGGACTTATAATCGCACTGGGAGATTATAAGTAAAATTTATAAATTTTTTGGAATTATAAACTCCACGTGAGGTTTTTAAGTCTAGGTGCAATTAGTATCTGGACTTATAAAGCTTTAGTCACTTTGATTTTCTGGACTTATAATTTTCTGTGCACGATTTTTGTATCTGGACTTATAATTTCTGGACTTTTAACCCAGCATCAGATTTGATGAATTAATCCTGATTGTTTACACCTTAGGTATTGGGATATGGATAATTAGGAAGAACCAGCTTAGACACTTCAAAAATTCTAATCAATAGAAATTATTTTGAAGTTTCTAAAGCTTAGGAATTAAAAAAGAGGAAAATGAAGTTTGGATTAATGGATTTAGTAAAATAGGATTTAGTATCATTAACATGCTAACATGCTGTCTAAGTTTTATATTTTAATAAAAATAAATCATAAGAGAAAAAAAGACCAACTCAATGAATTCATATTTGAGGGTATATGCTGAATTCCTGACCATAACGATCACTTTATGATCAAGACGAAATAGTTTAAACTCCATAAGTCATCATTAAAGTCGTTCAAGGAGTGTCCTTGTCACAGGAGATTTGTTTACCATTGGAATTCACAGTTCACACAGAGTTTGATAGAATTAGTACACTGATTAATAATATTTGTATAATATAATAATTAGTCACTACTTTTAATAAAGATTGATTGATGTAAATTAATTTGGTAACAACAATAAAGACCAGGAAACTGGGGTAGTTTGTAGTTTGTGGTAATGAACTACCACAAACTATCATAGTAATTTTAGAATACTAGCATTGACAACAGTTCAGTTGTTTGAAGATCAGACTTAGAAACTTAGAGGTTTTTGACCCGTACAGCATATGATAACCACATGACTGCTTTGCCATTATTATAACAGACAATTTTTAACGTCAGACTAGTGTCTGTCATATGATATTGATGGATGTACCTCATAAGTTATATCATCAATCTTTAAATCTTTTAATTCGTAGATTTAAAGGTTTTTGACGGCATAACATTGAGTTCCTAAGCCTGACTTAAAGATTAAAAACCAATAAAACACAAAAATAGTTCAAAAATTTTCTAATGATTTTCAACAAAATTATAAAAAAATACAATAAAACTTAAAAACTAAGAATGTTAAATGTTTACTACATCAATAGAAATTTTAGACAAAAATTGATTTATCTCTAAGCATTATCGTCTACTATTCATTGGTGCGTCTACATTAAAGAGTTTCAATCGATAAATATTTCATTATTGCTGAGCCACTAACTCCGCAAAAATTTCTGTAGCAGAAAAATATTCCACAAGATAAATCAATATTTCTCTATCACATATATTCGAATATCATTCCTAACTACAACAACCAAAAACAAAAAAATAAGTGCTGCAAAAATTTCTACATCCAAAAAAAAAATAACTCAAAATTTTAATTGAAAACGTGCCATTAAGAAAAATCTCGTTAGAATCGAGAGGAACGAGATGTGATTAAATATAAAAAATTGATTATATTTTTTTTAAGGTTTGAAACAATGAAATTTTAAAGCAGGCGCTAATTTGAGAGAAAGGTCATATCACATGTGAATAATTCTTTTTTTTTTCATCTAATTTATTTTTAGAATATTTTGCATGCACGATAGAAGAAGATATAATGTTTGTATTTTTTTTCTTCTCTTTTGGAAGCACACATGTGTGCGATACAGCCGATGAGAGAACGGCACTTGAGCGAAGGAAAATTTAGTCAACTTGACACAACCATAGACACATAACGATCGACTTGACTTAAATAATTTATTTTTCATACTCACATTCAAATTTTCCGTTGCATCATCGTTGGTGATTTGGACATTCTTCTCAATATCAGTGATAATGTCATTCAATTGTTTCTTGATGCTTTCTTGCTCGATCTCCTTGTTGCTAAATTGCTGATAACTACGTGTCTAAAATTATGAAAATTGCGGGGGAGAAAATATTGAGACAAATTTTAATCATATATATTGCTGCACAGTCGTCACTTTTGGGGGTAAATTATCACATGGATATCATAAAGAAGAGACTTATAATGCAAACAGATGATGAAAGGATTAATTAACAAAATGTTAACAAATTTATTTTTATTACCAAAACTTCTTGTTTTACTTCTGGCTTTTCTTCTGCGACAACAGGAGCTGGTTGTGCAATATCTAAAATTTTTGATGGCAATTCCTCAGTTGGTGATGTTTCATATGATCGTTCAAGGATTGCTGGCAACGGAGCTGACAAAGAAGTTGGCACAAATGCTGATTCTCCTTGCTATAAAATGTTTTTACAAGTTTTATAAGTCACAAGAATTTTTTAAGTAGTCACAAATTAAAATTTTTTCTATGTACAAAAAAAATGTTAGCAAAAAAAAATTCAAATCAAATTCGAGCAAAATCCTTTAAGATCTTACATCAGCAGCATTTACTTGCTCATCAATTTTTTGTTCCTCAATATGAGTTTCAGCACTATTTTGTGAGATTGTGGTCTGTTCCGGTTCCTGTTGTTCTTCAACAACAGTTTCAGGTTGTCCATTTAAGTCTGATTGTTCTGTTTGTGTAATTTCTTTTGTCTCGTCGTGAACTTCATTTGTACTTTCTTTTTGTTCTCCTGATTTTAATTCAGAAGACGGTTCAGTGTCATTTTTCAAGTCGGAAGCTTCTTGCTCTAGAGAATTTTCTAATGGCTTTGCAATTTCTGGCTCTACAGAATTTTCTAATGGCTGTTCAGTATGTACAGAGTTAACTAATGGCTGTTCTGCATCTACAGAATTTTCTAATGTCTGTTCTGCATCTACAGAATTTTCTAATGGCTCTTCAGTGTGTACAGAGTTAACTAATGGCTGTTCTGCATCTACAGAATTTTCTAATGGCTGTTCTGCATCTACAGAGTTTACTACCGTCTGTTCTGCATCTACAGAATTTTCTATTTGCTTTTCACTCACAGACTCTACAGTATTTACAATTTGTCTTACGTTTTCGGGTTCAAGATAATTTTCATTTTCTTTTTCAACTACTTCTGATGCAACTTCTGATGCCTCATCTTGTTGAACATCAGTTTCATTTGGCTTTTCATCCTAAATTGCACAAACAAATTTTTGTTACAAGATGAATTTTGAGTTTTGAATGAGGTATCTTTTCATGGTCAGCCAATAAATGTTTTTAAATCTTTATTTATAGTGTGGGAAAATTATGTCCCGAACAACACATGCTGAAATGTGGAACTGAACTGATTTTTGATATATTTTTGTAGCAATTTCTCTAGAAATTCTTGAAATCATTCTTAAATCACATTGTTAATACAATCAAGACCAAATTCAATTCCACCTCCAGTCTGTAAAGCTCTGGTTTACGATTTAATTTGTAGAATTTTAGGTTTGTTCCTTTAAAATGTTTAGAATCTATTTTTAAACTGATTTAAATTTAAAAGGGACTTATCATCTCAAAAAGATAGTTTTTTGGTTTAATTCTATCATCATTGAGGAATAAGGATATATTTTAAGAGGTTAACTCCAAAAAATAAACTTCCTTAATATCATAAAATTTTATACCTAAAACCAATAACAATCTTTGTTGCGACTTTAAATCCCTCAAGAATATTAACATCTTAAATTATTTAAATTTACTGGCTGACCATAGAATTTTTATTTTCATCGGGTGGTGCCAAATAATAACCATAATAATGAATAGTAGTAAGAGCGAACATGAAGCCTGTCCATTCGAAGAATGCAACAAATTTTAACTTTGTTTGATGACAATGAGAGACTCATAGCCTTAACTGGACACAGAAGTTGACATCGACACAACAGCTTAAAAACGTTTTTGATGGGTAATGAAAAAGTTACGCAAATGAATATGCAAAAGAAAAATGTTCACAACAAAGCAAAGAAGACAGAAAACGAACACATCAATGGATAGAGACTTTCTATCCTTTGTAAAAAAAATTCAAGATTTAAAATTTTCAAAAACAAAAAATTTTAAACAGAAAGTGAAGAAGCTTGAAGCGACTTTTCTCAACAGAAAGATGATACAAAATATGAACAAATATACATGAACAAGATGAAAGGATCTAAATAATTGTGAATGATGCGAAAAATTTAATATGACACACATGTAGCGCAACTTGTTGTTAGTATGTAATCAAATAATAATAAAAAGTATGTACATATATTTAAGGAATGACATGGACCGAGTGACACTCACCACAACAACTGAGGATGATGAAAATGATGACTCTTGCTTCACTTCTGCGATGACGCTAAAATATAAAAAAGATATTAAAATTTTATGAGTTTAGCAAATAAAACAAGCTACAAGATATAAAAATTTTAAATGTGAACAAATTGAATTTTTGTTTGTCAAAGTGTTGAAATTTTTACTTCCTTCAAAAAAATTTATTAAACTCATTGAGGAGAATTCCTTAACCTTAATTTTATATTTGAATTATTTTAATGAATTCCTGATAGCTGTCTACCCCTTTTGAATTTGTTTACCCCTTTTGTAGTTGTTTACCCCTTTTAAAGTTGTGTACCCCTTTTGTAGTTGTTTACCCTTTTTTTGGAACTAATATTCACCTCTTTTGTTGAACAGCTTGATCATTTGAAGTGATGACACTTTGTGATACAGTCTTTTCGCTACTGGCAGCAGTCTCGACAGTTCCATTTGCAATTTTCTCGACCTTGGATTCCTGTGAACTCTCAGTGACTGAACTTTCGTTTTTTATTACAAGCGGTTGAGCTATTGTGGATGTTTCTAATGATGTTTCCATGTTTCCTCAATGGTCTTAATTTATTTTCGTGAATGGGTTGAGATTTGATTTTGATTCACTGAAAAAAAAGAAAACAATTTTTTAAAATATTTTTTACGATCTGAGATTTAACGATTCATTGAAAAAATGAATTGCGGACTAGTAGGATATAATTGAGTAGGATAGTCATAATTTCCATAAAATTTTGACGCTAAAATGACACAAAATCATTCACGCTCGATATTTTTCTCATAACAATTATGGCAAAACGTGCAATTCGAGTTGCTTCGTCGTGTAAACATAAATTTGATCTTTAACATTTCATTTTCTTTTAAAAACAAAATCACAAAACTCCGCAAAATTAGTGTAAATAAACTATAATTCTTGACTTTTATTGGTCGTTCCTCAAATAAAGTTTTCCTTTCTTTTCGTCTTCTGAGATTTTTCTTTCTTTATTATTTAGATTTAAAATTAAACATCTTTTTATTACGGAAGTAAACTCCAGATTTTCATAGTAAAGGTTAGTGGGACAGGGACTTTATTACGAAGTAATTTTTCTCTTCTGATGAGATTCAAATGAAGCTTTGCAAATGTTTTTAAACAAATCATTAAGAACCTTGGATCTAGCCGGTAAACTTTACATTGAACAAATCTGATGAACTTCTCAAGCTGTTTATTTATGAACACATTGTCCAGAACTTAGCAAAAGATACAATTCAAGCTTAACACAAAACAGATGAAGTAAACAGATGGAAAAAATTTATATTTTGGAATACGGAAATATTGAGAAATATTTGCAAACTCCATATGATTATTTGGCAATCCCAAACTGCTAATTATACTTTAGAACGTAGGATGTTTGTAAACACTTGTGTTTTTAAGTAAATTATATATTTTCACTCTACACGTTTTACTAAGAAATGCTAAACTCTCTTAACTGCAATGACTATGTGTATTTAATGAAATTTTGAGGTAAATTAGCCTCATTTGATGATGGATCTGTTAAATGAACACTTTCTTAATGGTTTTTGAAAAACATTCAACTCTTAAGACAATTCTTTGAAGAAGTTATGAAAAACAAAATATTGAAATCAAGAAAGCAGATTTCAAATCTTGATTTGTAATAATTCTCACATTAAGTTTCTAGATCCTGATCTAATCCTTCCTCGAAAGTTTAAAATTAAGCTACGATGTAGTCTTGATCTCGAACATCAAATTGTCAAAGTATTTAAAGTTCTGAAAAGTTCAAATTTAGAAATAACAAGGTTTGAAATAGTAAGTTTCAACCTTAGGAATCAAATGTGACTTTTCACATCCTTACATGATTTTAACAATTTCGAAATGGTTTTCAAAATTTAAAAATCAACTCCATCTTAAACACAAATTAAATTGAACAATCCAGTCCAATGTTTAATTACATCTTAAACATTTAATTTCAATAAACTCAATTAGTCAATCCTCTACATAAATTCCTCAGTAGATCAATTGATTGAGTGACCTGTCTGTCAAACATATCCCTTAAAGCACTATATAAATGTGCCCGAATCAATCATCGATCGCGATCGGTTGTGTAAATGAGTCTTTACGCACAAAACTCCTCCATCAATGAAATATTTTCCATCACATAACATATTCTAAAAATGTCGAGTCAAATGTGCTATAACAGATTCTCAAGCAACTCGTAAACAATCTATTTTCCGCTAATAATTTCCCATTCCCTAAATATTATATCACAGAGAAATATTTAAGCACTGAGAGAGATTCTATTATCTAATAGCTGCTAGGCTATTGTAAAAAAATATATTTTTCAATGCAAAACGTAAATTTTCACTCAAAAAATTTATAAAATAGCCGGGCGCGATGCCAGATACAACCAGAAGAAAATATTTGAGAGTAAATCTTTTTCTAAGTTCAAGACAAAAACGTGAAAACAGAGTTTTCTGTAAATATCCATGCATAAGGTCGAAATTCATTCATTCAATACTCAAACAGAAGCTCATCTGTGTTTTCAGCTATTCTGCTTAATTGTCCAGTTATATTAATATTTCTCATTTACGGAATTAAATCATTTTCTTCACTCTCTTGAAATGAAATAAACATTTTGATCTTGTTATTTACGAGTAGATGAATCAATCAGATTATTTCTCAATTGGCATTTATCTGCTCTGATCGTGGGTAATCAACATAAATAATAATAATGAATGACGAAAATTTCTTTGGTCAATGAATTCAGAAATAGAATGAAAATTTCCCAGATTGTGGATTATTGGGTTGAAATTCACATAAATTCTTGATCAACAACCTCAAGAGATTGTGGTTGTTGAGAAATTTATGCCTAGATGCTTTCTCTCGCTATAGTAATATCAACGATTCAAAAGTTTGTAAACTGAACTACTAAAAACACACCAGGATCATTCCAAAAGTACCAAATACATCGTTAGCAAAGAATTTATTTTTAAGTACAGCGACATTATCATAATTGGCATCTTGACATGACTTTAAAGTATTTATCTGCATAGTCCTGGCAACAATAATTTTTTTTGGCAAAAAAAATGAAAATGTCATTTTAACGTCTAAAATTTTATGAAATAAATCATAAGGTACAGGCCGAGAGTTTATGCTTATGTTCAAGATGATACAAGAGAGGTTGTTTAAAGAATGATTGTTGTTATTAGCTTATAGATTCGAGAGATTCTTAAATAACAATAGTGATCAATTTTCTTCAATCAACCTTTTAATTCTTAAATTTCTGTGTATCCACAATAAGCAGTTGATAAATTAACTATGAAAAATCTTTGAACACGACCTTAACCATGCCAAAATATTCTTCTATTGAAATAAATAACTTCCTTCACAAATTTATCTTCAATCCTTTAATTTTCTATTTTTGAATCAAACAAATGACTCCGTTTAACAAATTACTTCCCCAAAATTTATTAGATATAAATACGACACTCTGCATGGCCAACGCTTTTCATTCATCTCTTGTTGGGAGTCATTCATTAGTGATTTTTATCATAGGTTAAGATTTCTTGCTCTTTAGTTAATAAAAACACAGAAACCTCCAAAGATTGTCATTAATATTCCTCTATCTTAAGCTGAACGTAACTAATGAATGATCCCAATTCATAAAAATAAAAACAATAATCTTAGAATTCGTTTGGCGAAAAATTATCTTTGTCAAGTCAAATTTATGAACCGAAACTTTTTACAATAAGAAAAAGTCAAAATAGAAGCAAATTAAAAGTGTAAATAGATTTAAGCCATGTGATTAATAAAGTGATAACATATTTGATACCAATTTTTATTTTTGAACAAAAAACAAATTTTTCTTCTTGACTGCTGACTTCTACGCAAAAACGTGTGATTTTTATAATAAATTTAAATTTCAAATGTTTATTTTTGAATTTAAAATAAATTGTAGGTTAATCATTTTAAATACAATTAAGTTGTAAAATGCAGAATTGAAATTGTTTGAGTCATTGCTCTAAATTAAATTCTTTAAATTTTTATAACTTAATTAAAATTTAAACACAAAAATCCTTGTTTGTTATTCAGCATACAATTAGAGCAAAATAAACAAGATATTTTTAAATTCCAACATCAATCATTTTTAAGTAAATATTTGAACTTAAATGTAGAATAATAGGTGATCAGCCTGGCGCCTATGATGAAAATATTATGGATAAGATTCATAAGGTCGTTTAAGTCTGAATTTGATTAAATAGACTGGATTGATTCTTTTTCATCAACATTGTTGGAAGTAAGCTTTTTTGAATGCTTTGACACAAAATCTGTTGCTAATTTATCTCCAGGAAGTTCCATCTTCACAACAATTGCCCACCAAATTTACACACAACTAATTTAAAGCTATTAGGCGCCAGTGAACGGCATGATCATAACAATTTTAAAAGCAAACGATCATCACTAAGCATTACCAATTCTTTTCTGCAGTTATTAAAATCTATGTTGACAAATGTTTGATGACGTTAGCAAATGTTAAAAGTGAAGGCAAAGATGACAAGCAAGAAATATGAAGAATCAGTTTGGCAATTGCAATTGATTTTTGTAAACACAAATGATTCTCAAAATTCTGATCATGGTTATTTGAGACTTGATCAACCTTATAGGAATTCGAACTAATGCATAGGAATTCAATCATAAGAATTAGAAATAAACAATCAATTAACAAATTAATCCTACAATTCAAATTATAAATCAACTGAACTCAAAGAATCAATCATAATATAAACATACCGCTTCTTCCTAAAGATCAAAAGTCACTCTTCATTAGAATTGATTTCTCAATTTCGATTTGGCATTTAAAAAACCAATTTAATGCAATTTCTCAAATTGTTTCCTTATTGCATTATAGATCTTTAGATATTAATCGAAAATTGAATATCGTTATTATAAAAAAGCAAACATTAATCAACACCAGACGTGTTTCATTAGATGAAAAATTTCTCAGAAATTCCTCGTTTGTAAAAAAAGTTTTATAAATTTGATCACTTTAGAAAAATATGCTTTCTGATTTCTATTTTCACGATGATAAGAACCTCAAATCCTTTGATTTATTTAATGAAATTCTTTCACGCTCATTCATAAAGATTTTCATCTTAAAATTCTTCATTTTTACAATTTTTTATCGAACCACACTTGAGAGAATTAAATGAGAAGGTTTACTAATGGAAGGACATTAATATTGTCAGGGGTGTGGTTGGAATGTAATTAAGTTTAAGTTACAAGCTCATTAATCTTATTTTTTATTTAAATTAAAATGAGATTTATCTTGAACATGTAAGGTTTTTTGTAACAAGCAGCACGTATTGTAAATTATTTTTTCTATGGCCTTTATAAAGCTACATCCATTAGGGAAACAAGGATTTATTCAGTTTAGATTTTTTATATTTTAACTAAGAGAACAAAATCAGCTCGGTGCCCTCAGAGCACTTATTAATCATTTTGATGTTCTGTCGACGATTCTTTAAGATAAGTCCAAAAAAATTGGAACTTTAACCTTCTGCACAAGATGATTCTGATGTTAGATGATTCATCAATAAAATGGATTTAAAAGCGAAGCCGGAAAACAAACTATTCCCAATTTTTCCGTCCAATCTAGTCTAGGCAAAAAATACAATAAATTTATATCTGACAACCTTCACCCAATGAAAATGAAATTTTTCTTACAATTTTTCTCAAAAAAAAAAGTTATAAGAAGATCAGCAAAAGACATTTTTATAATAAATGAGAAGGAAGAAAGACAGCTAAAAGCTCTTTCAATTCTGCATCATTAAATCCACATAATGCATTACTGTAATTGTCTGTAATTCATTAAAGATCTTTTTTACATTTTTCAATGCACTTTCTCACCATGCTCTGCCATTTGAGATGCTGTTTGTTTTTATTAATTATCGGAAATGTAAATGAAATGAGAAAAATCTTGGCAAATGAAAATTAAATGAAATTTTTTCCTCTATCATAAATTTTTTCCATTCCTTCAAGTTTTTATGAGGTTCTTTAGCCACTGTGATGCCTCTTGAATTTATGAAAGGGAAAATAGTTTCGTCGGCTTTTCGTTCGAGGGGAACAACCTGTTAATAATCTTCATTAATTTCCTAACCATTTATGTTTCATTATTTTTCATCCATGCTAGAATATTTTGCAATGTTTATTGCTTGTAGGGTTGATCGTAAATGACGTCAATCGATGTGTATATTTAAAGATTTTACTTCTTGTCATTTTATTTGTGTACGAATATGTAAAGTACTGCTGTATTGGAGTGGTTTTACGAATCGTGAACATCGAGCAAGATTCGAACTCACAACAGTTGGTTTTTCAGTAGCACACATTTACAATTTCACTGTCGTCTATTCTAAATGTGAGCAGCTTCAACGAATGATATTATTTGAGCAATATTTTAATAACGAAGCTGAATAAGACTCGAACTCACGACTGCTGAGTAAAATTCTCACAACTGAGCTGTCCGGGCTACGGCAGCGTGATTTTGAATCACAAAAGTTGAAATAGATTCGAACCCACAGCCAGTAATTTTCAGTCGCATCCTCCCACCACTCACAGCTTTTAAAAATCACATGAAAAACAAAAGGATCATCAAAATTAGACACCACATGTGAACAAACCCTCAATTGCATACCGATAGCCACATGAGCCTGCATGTGTGCACGTTTACTTCATATTAAATGTGATAAAATGAGAGTGTCGACATTCATTAGCAAATTAAAACAACAAAAAAAAAATTAACTCACATTTACTAATTCGTAATGGTCTTTGAAAGAAGAATCTTTCGCTTTATGCTCTGGCTCTGTTTTATTTTTATAATTGTGACTGTAGAAAAAAAAATGAAATGATTTTATTTCGTTGTTTTGTTGGTTCTATTTAAAGATTTTGTCTTTCACTTTATTTCACTGTTCAAGATATTTTTTTTCTCAATTTCTTTTTCTTTTTTCAATTTTATAATTGCCACTTCTTTCTTCTTAACTTGTGAAACAATGAAAAAAGAGCACCGCACAGACAAGATTAAATAAAATAAAAAAAAAATCCTAGTCGATCACTTTGTATCAGCGCAAAAATTTCATTCCTAAATTCATTTTATGATTTATTTCACTTTCTTTTCCACAAACTCACCAGCTATGCTATTTATGTATATTCTAATTCCTCTAAACACTTTCTTCTTTGTTTATGTTCTTCTTTTCACGCATTCAGCGAGATTTTTTTTTTCTTCTTCGTTTTCAGAACACAAAAAAAAATATTTTTTTTGGCTTAAAAGAAATTTTTTTCTAAGCTTCCAATTTTCTTTCCTTTCAAGTTCTATGCACCACGAATTCAAAATCAAAACTGAAAGGAAAATTCTCTTGAAAATATTTTTCACGTTGCCATCTCACAAAGATTTTCTGCCGAAGATGTATGATCGTGTGACTTACACACATGTATTGATGATCAGCATTTCTCTTGTATTGACGATTTTCATTTTTTTGCAAAACTCATTTTCTGAGGGATTTATGTGTGAAGCAGAAGACATATGAAATGTTGCAAGAGAGATTTATAGACAAAATCGTTATAGACACGAAGATCAAAGATCAGTTTTATGTTTAGGACATTTCATTTGATAACTTTGAGGAACTGATTTGCAATTTTAATAGTTTTAAGTTGGTTTGAGATCAATTTAGGATGGGATTTAAATATCATTCAATGTTCAGTTATTGAAGATTGTTAATGGTAATTTTGAACTTAAATGTTTAAGAATAAACAGAAATTTCTCCTTGTAATGGAATTATTCGTAGTTTCAAGCCCCTCATTTATTACATTGCAATCATTTTCAGACCTGTTTTAGGTTTTTTTTCTGATTTTAGTTCCTCAGTGTGATTTAGAAATATTGAAAACCAAATCTATAGTTGATTAAGATCAGATCCTTATAAACATATCCACAAAACACAAAACCAAGATCTAATGAACACCAAATTATCAAAAAGTCATATTAACCAACGCTGTAAAGTTTTTCACAGATTTTTCACTCATCTTCTTCACAATTCTTTCGTTCATGAATCCCAACAAGCAGCAAGTGTAATCGTAGCAGTGAACAAACTTTTCACATGTGAATGAGAAAAGAGCAACTTTGCAATACATGCTCACGATCGAATATAAAAATAGAGCGACGTTCTACTTCGAATCCTGTGCGTGTATCGGAACGATGAAAATCTTACGCGACTTGATCATGTGTAGATATTTATGTTGTTGATGAAATTAAAATTTCGAAATGATACAGATGCGATTATAATTTTCTGTTGTATGCAGCGAGGCAGTTTATGTTAAAAAGTCAACACTTGACGGATATGAAAAAAATGCAAAGCAGAAGAAAATCTTGTAAATCGCAAAAAAAGAAGGAGATTTATTGAAAATTAATGAGGAATAAATCAGCGCGTTGATGATGAAGTGCGAATACAAGCAATCTTCACAACCACAAGTTCTCCATTCAGTTAGTTCTGACTCGAGTGAGAAAGACGTGAAAATAAAAATTGGGTGGGTATGAAAATTAATTAATAGAAGAAAAAATGTAGGTTCTGTTTGTGTTTTTCCTGTCTTTTCCACCAACAAATTTTTAAATTTACACACTCGCGATGACAGTCATAGTCAAGGAAGTTCAGATTTGCTCTGAATTTTCAATAATTTATTTCAATTAAGTGTCTGAAATTTTTCACAATCTTGTTTTTTTTTTTTATTTTATTTTATTTATATTACAAAAGAAAGGAGAAGAGAAATTGACCTCACAAGAGCTTCATTTTATTATTTTATTACTTCATTCGAAATTGTGGATCGTAAAAGAATTTCGCTCGTTTATTGCAAGAAAATCCGAGAAGAAGACATTTTTTGGCAGGAGTAATAACAATATTTTCATTGTTACTATTACAAAACACGTGGGTTAATCCCAATCATTATAAAAATTTGTACTTTTATTACTAGGCATACCATCATGGCTTTTGGTGAAAAGCTGTAACGACTGTTTGCTTTTTTATTTATTTATCAATGGACCAGAGTAGATTTTTGAATTCCACACCTAAAAGGTTTAAAACGATTTAAAATCATTAATTTTTGACTCATAATGAAGAATCTGGTAGAACTTAGGTGTGCCTAGTGAAAAGTTCTTTAAAGATTTCTGAAACCTTACTAAATCTAACTGTCAAGCATAATAAACCAAAAAATACACGACTTACGTAGAAAGTCACTAGCTTCCGCGTTTGACTTATGTTAGATTACAGTTCTTATTTATATATCACAAAACGAAAATTTGTGTATCGTAAAGAAACCCAATTCGGATATATACACCTCACCATTAAAAGCCTTGTGGTAAGACCAATTAATTTGAAAACATAAATCTTGACGAACCAGCTGAGCTGCGCCCAATTTATTTTTGGAGGTATAAAGCTTGACGAGTCACAGCATAAGCGACTATGGACTCTTACCATAGAAAGTCTTCATCTAACAGTTGTGCTATCGCACAACTTAAGTTTTTAAACTAGAACGCTTACCATATGTTTGAAGGCATAAAGCTTGACAGGTCAGCTTAGCTTCGCTCAGCATAAGTTTGAAAGCATAAAGCTGACGTGTCAGTTGAGCTTCGCTCAGTTTGAAGGTTTAAAGCTTAACGAACATTCTATAAAAGATTTTAAAATTTTTTTTTCATCAAAAGTTTAATTTTATAAAAATCACAGTGAACTTTTGTTTTAAAAAAAATTCGTAAGAAAAAAAAGTTTGAGCAAATATAGTGTTTGCATAGAGATTTCGTGAAAAAATTCCATCAAGCACTACGGTCTCAAAAAAAAAAGGTTTATGCAAAGCGCCATAATTTCCGTTCTACCAGAAGACAAGGGCTAAATTTTGACATATAAATCATTAATTTTAGAAAAATGGTGGACCTGTAGGTTGAGTGACAAAATTTGACCGACATAAAGAAACACCTGCCGTGTTCCACGCGGAAGCTAATAAAATTTAAAATGCAATTTAAAACATTTTTGATTTTGATCATAGGAGGCTATTTTCAGAAAAATATCGATTTTATATCTATATTAGCATTCTTTATCATTTATAATACCTAGATATGTTTAAAAATGCAATTTAAAGCATTTTTGGTTTCGATCATAGTAGGCTATTTTCAAAAAAATATCGATTTTATATCTATATTAGCATTCTTTATCATTTATAATACCTAGATATGTTTTGAAATGCAATTTAAAGCATTTTTGGTTTTGATCATAGTAGGCCATTTTCAAAAAATATCGATTTTATATTAAAATTAGCATTCTTTATCATTTATAATACTTAGATATGTTTTAAAATGTAATTTTAAGCATTTTTGGTTTTGATCATAGTAGGCTATTTTCAAAAAAATATCGATTTTATATCTATATTAGCATTCTTTATCATTTATAATACCTAGATATGTTTAAAAATGCAATTTAAAGCATTTTTGGTTTCGATCATAGTAGGCTATTTTCAAAAAAATATCGATTTTATATCTATATTAGCATTCTTTATCATTTATAATACCTAGATATGTTTTGAAATGCAATTTAAAGCATTTTTGGTTTTGATCATAGTAGGCCATTTTCAAAAAATATCGATTTTATATTAAAATTAGCATTCTTTATCATTTATAATACTTAGATATGTTTTAAAATGTAATTTTAAGCATTTTTGGTTTTGATCATAGTAGGCTATTTTCAAAATAATATCGATTTTATGTCTATATTAGCATTTTTTATCATTTATAATACCTAGATATGTTTTGAAATGCAATTTAAAGCATTTTTGGTTTTGATCATAGTAGGCCATTTTCAAAAAATATCGATTTTATATTAAAATTAGCATTCTTTATCATTTATAATACTTAGATATGTTTTAAAATGTAATTTTAAGCATTTTTGGTTTTGATCATAGTAGGCTATTTTCAAAAAAATATCGATTTTATATCTATATTAGCATTCTTTATCATTTATAATACCTAGATATGTTTAAAAATGCAATTTAAAGCATTTTTGGTTTCGATCATAGTAGGCTATTTTCAAAAAAATATCGATTTTATATCTATATTAGCATTCTTTATCATTTATAATACCTAGATATGTTTAAAAATGCAATTTTAAGCATTTTTGATTTTGATCATAGTAGGCTATTTTCAAAAAAAATATCGATTTTACATCTAAACTAGCACTCTTTATCATTTATAAAACCAAGATAAGTTTTAAAATGCAATTTAAAGCATTTTTGGTTTTGATCATAGTAGGCTATTTTCAAAAAAATATCGAATTTATATCTATATTAGCATTTTTTATCATTTATAAAACCAAGATAAGTTTGAAAATGCAATTTAAAGCATTTTTGGTTTTGATCATAGTAGGCTATTTTCAAAAAAATATCGAATTTATATCTATATTAGCATTTTTTATCATTTATAAAACCAAGATAAGTTTAAAAATGCAATTTAAAGCATTTTTGGTTTTGATCATAGTAGGCTATTTTCAAAATAATATCGATTTTATATCTATTTTAGCATTTTTTATCATTTATAATACCTAGATATGTTTAAAAATGAAATTTAAAGCATTTTTGGTATTGATCATAGTAGGCTTTTTTCAAAATAATATCGATTTTATATCTATATTAGCATTCTTTATCATTTATAATACCTAAATATGTTTAAAAATGCAATTTAAAGCATTTTTGGTTTTGATCATAGTAGGCTATTTTCAAAATAATATCGATTTTATATCTATTTTAGCATTTTTTATCATTTATAATACCTAGATATGTTTAAAAATGCAATTTAAAGCATTTTTGGTTCTGATCATAGTAGGCTATTTTCAAAAAAATATCGATTTTATATCTATATTAGCATTCTTTATCATTTATAATACCTAGATATGTTTTAAAATGTAATTTTAAGCATTTTTGGTTTTGATCATAGTAGGCTATTTTCAAAAAAATATCGATTTTACATCTATACTAGCACTCTTTATCATTTATAAAACCAGAAAAGATTAAAATGCAATTTAAAGCATTTTTGGTTTCGATCATAGTAGGCTATTTTCAAAAAAATATCGATTTTATATCTATATTAGCATTCTTTATCATTTATAATACCTAGATATGTTTTAAAATGCAATTTAAAGCATTTTTGGTATTGATCATAGTAGGCTTTTTTCAAAATAATATCGATTTTATATCTATATTAGCATTCTTTATCATTTATAATACCTAGATATGTTTAAAAATGCAATTTAAAGCATTTTTGGTATTGATCATAGTAGGCTTTTTTCAAAATAATATCGATTTTATATC